AAAAAAATCACAAAAGTCAACAACCGGGGAAAATTTTTTCCCAACCCAGCAAAAGGCACCTCCCCTCCCCAGCGGAAAATACGATCCCCTTATGTATTTCACACAACGATGCTGTACCCTGTTCCCGGCACCGCCCCGACTGAACGCTACGATATCGACAATAAAACCTTTATCGAGAGAATGGGTTCGAAGAAATGGTACTATTGAGTTTTTTTCTGAAAAAAGGTTAGTGTATTTCAGAGCAATTCCTCGCTCGATTCATGTTTATCGTTCATTCTTTGGTGACGATTTGGCATACGACAAGTATTGAAAGAAGGTAAGCTCACGTCTCACACATATTTATCTAGTATTTAACATCGTCGTTTGACAATCGATCCCAGTAATAGCTTTGTAGCTTCTGAGAGACATAGCCCTTTCTATAGAGCACAGGATAAATCCTAATTAGTTGCTGGTATCCAAGGAATAACTTATTTCAGAGATGGCGTATGGGGATTTGCTTTGCTTTCACTGCTCATTGTCTTTGAGGGATCCTACACGATCATCATGCGAGCTGGTGATGAGCGAAAATGGTAAGCAATGAAAAAAACTCGTTCTTTACGTGATTTTTAGGGTGCACCGCACTTTTGTATCCTGAGAGAACTTGCAGGTTTTTATGCACAGCGAAGGGAAAAGAGTCCGTTCAAAGGTACAGCATCTTCGGGAGAATACCCTCAAGAGGTCGTTCATGGTCGCTGGGGAGGGTATCGTAGCTGTCGTACCAGATGAGAATTTTCTCGGAAGATTGCATTCCACTTTTCACAGTACTGAACCCTGTCTGCTGTTCTACTTGAAAGCATGCCGACAGTTAATAATTAGACGCAAGAGGAATGAGTTACTGTAAATAGCCATTTTCTGCGTGCAGGTATTTGAACAGAAGTATCACTTTATCCACGGCCCATATTATGGTGTACGGTTTAAATGAAGAGCTTTCGACCGTGATCAGTCCTTCTCTGGAATGTGCTATGCACTACACTTTCACTCCGAATAGCAGTGACATTCTGATGCAATCTGATCCTCTGACCCTCGCGATGACTTGCAGGAGGCTAGTCTATGCACCAGGACTGGGCGTTTGGTAACCGACGCCACGTGCTACTACACCACCTTACCGTGATACCTATCAATAACTGAAGACAGAGCATGTTCTGGTGTACGGAAGATTTCTTGCCAAGTACAACCACCCCCCCCCACCAGTAAGTTTTCTCTTCCACTACGAA